CTCATTCTGTGGGTTGCCTTTTTACTCTGTAGACAGTATCTCCTGATATGCAAAAATTTTTAATTTTTATGAAGTCCAATTTGTCTATGTTTTCTTTCATTGCCTGTGCCTTTGGTGTCATATCCAAGAAATCATTGCCAGCACCAATGTTGTGAAGATTTTGTCCTATGTTTTCATCTAAGAGTTTCATTGTTTTAGATCTTATGTATAATTCCTTGATCCATTTTGAGTTAATTTTTATATATGGTGTTAGATAAGGATCTAACTTGATTCTTTTGCATATGGATATCCAGTTTTCCCAACACCATTTGTTGAAAAGACTTTCCTTTCCCCCATTGAATGGACTTCACATCCTTGTCAAAATTCATGTGATCATATATTCAATGGTTTATTTCTGGACTCTCTCTTCTATTCCATTGGTCTGTATGTCTGTCTTTATGCCAATACCATGCTGCTTTGATTATTGTAGACTTGTAGTAGTTTTTAAATCAGGACATGTAAGTCCTCCAGTTTTGTTCTTTTTCAAGATTGTTTCGGCTATTCAGGATCCCTTGAGATTCCATATAAATTTTAGGATGAATTTTTCTATTTCTGAAAAAAACACATTATTGGAATCTTTACAGTAATTCAAGTGAATCCTCAGATTGTTTGGGATAATATTGGAATTTACCAATATAAATCTTCCCAATCCATGAACATTGGATGTGTTTCCACTTATTTGTGTTTTCTTTAATTTCTTTCAGCAATGTGTTATAGTTTTCATTCTACAAGTTTTTCATCTCCTTGGTTAATTCATTATTTTATTCTTTTTGATGCTATTATAAAGTAAATTATTTTTGTAATTTCCTTTTCAGATGGCTCACTGTATATAGAAATACAATCTATTCTTGTGTGTTGACTTTGTATCCTGCTACTTGCTGAATTCATTTATTAGTTCTAACAGCTTCTCTATGGAGTCTTTAGGATTTTTTATATATAAGATCATATAATTTGCAAAGAGAAATAACTTTATGTTTTTCCTATCAGATGCCTTTTATTTCTTTTTCTTGACTAATTGCCCTCACTAGGACTTCCAGTACTAGATTAAATAGTAGTGGTGAAAACAGGCATCCTTTCCTTGTTCCTGACCTTAGAGGAAAAGCTTTCAGTCTTTCACAGTTGAGTATTATGTTTGTTGTAGGTTTTTCATATATGGCTTTTCTTATGTGGGGGTAGTTTCCATTTTATTCCTACCTCATTGAGTGTTTTTATCATAAAACAGTGTTGAATTTTGTCAAATAATCTTTCTGCATCAACTGAAATGATCATGTGAGGGTTTTTTCCTTCACTTTTTTTGATGTGGTTTATTACACTGATCAATTTTCATATGTTGAAACATCCCTGCATTTCAGGAATAAATCCCACTTAATCATGGAGTATAATCCTTTTAATATGCTGCTAAATTCTGTTTGCTAGTATTTTATCGAGGATCTTTGCATCAATGTTCATAAAGGATATTTATCTATAGTTTCCTCTTTTTTGTAGTGTCTTTGACTTTGGTATCAGGGTAATTCTGGCCTCATAGAATGAATTATGAAGTGCTCCCTCCTCTTCAATTTTTTGGGAAAGTTTGAGAAGGATTGGATTAGTTCTTTAAGTGTTTGGTAGAATTCACCAATGAAGCCATCAAGTTCCAGGCTTTTCTTTGTTGAGACATTTTCAGTTTTTTATTTAATCTCCTTGAATTAGATTTGGATTGTCTATTCTTTGTGATATAGTCTTGATAGCTTTTTTGTTTCTAGCAATGTGTCCATTTAATCTAGGTTACCTCATTTTTTTGCATACAATTGTTCATAGTAGTACCTTACAATTTTCTATTTCTGTGGAATAGATAGTAATGTCCCCAGTTTCATTTTTGATTTTAGTAATTTGAGTTTTCTCTCTGTGTCTTTCTTTTTCTTTATGAGTCTATCTAGCTGTTAATTTTGTTGATCTTTTCAAAGAACCAAATTTTGTGTTCATTGGTTTTTCTTGGTTGTTTTATATTCTCGTTTTTCATTTATAATTCATTTATCTCTGCTTAATCTTTATTATTTCCTTCCTTCCACTAACTTTGTTAGTTTGTTCTTTTTTAGTTTGTTCTTCTTTTTTCTACTTCCTTAATTTGTAAAGTTAGGTTATTGATTCGAAATCTTTCTTGTTTGGTAACGTTAGTATCTATAGCTATAAATTTCCCCTTAGCACTGCTTCTGCTCTGTCCCATAAGTTTTGTTACATTGTGTTTTTATTTTCATTTGTCTGTAAGTATATTCAGTTTCCCTTGCTATTTCTTCTTTGAGCCATTGTTTAAACTGTGTTGATTTCAACAATTTTGTGAGTTTTCCACTTTTGTTTGTTATTGATTTCTAAATTCATTCTGTTGTGGTTAGAGAAGATACTTTGTATCATATCTACCTTCTTAAATCTATTGAGACTTAATGGGTGCCTAACACATACTCTGTTCTGGAAAATGTCCCATGTGCACTTGAAAAGAATACATATGCTGTTTTTGTTGGGTAGAGTGTTCCCTATATGTCTGTTAGGTCCAGGTGGCTTATTGTGTTGTCTAAGAAGCATGGTTTTAAGAAGAAATTTTCAGTTGAAACATAAAACAGAAAGTTAAAATTGAAGGAGGAAGAGATACCACAGATGATATACACCTTGTTTTCATGGGAGTAACCATAATGAAGGGAGCCTGAACTCTTCTAGCAATGTCTGAGGGGAGTGACTGCAAGGCCCAAACCATGTGGATGGGTGATATAGTGCCAAAAGCCTCAGTCATACTTGCAAATCCAATCTAAAGTATTCTCAGGGCACCTGGGTGGTTTAGCCGGTTAGGCCTCCAACTTCAGCTCAGGTCATGATCTCACGGTTTGTGAGTCCAAGCCCAGCATCAGGCTGTTTGCTCTCAGCACACAGTCCGCTTTGGATCCTCTGTCCCCCTCTCTGCCCCTCTTCTGCTAGCATTCTCTCTCTCTCTCTCTCTCTCTCAAAAATAAATAAAACATTTTTTGAATTAAAAAAAAATAAAGTCTTCTCAACAACTTTGTACCTATAATAAAATTCTAATTGATAAAGATAAAATCTCAGATCTCAGACCCACGAATATTACAGTTAGTGACCTTACTTCACTCTAATGCCCTGCCTTCATGAATCCTCCTATTGTCTTCCAACAAGCGGCTACCTAACTTCTGTTTGAATACTTGCCATGATAGGGAATTCGCTATTTTACAAAACAGTATGGTCCATATTTATACACCATTGTTAGCCAGAAGGTCTTCCTTATTCTGGGGCAAATTCACCTTTTCTGTAACATTCACATACTTGGTCCTAGATAGACTTTTATGTCCATCCAAAATAGACTTATATAAACATTTTCATATAACAGCCTTTTGCAGTCAATTATCATGTACATATACCCTCTAGGTTAAATATCAAGAGTTTCTTCAGTGGCTCCGTATGTGACAAGGTTTTATGCTCATTATCATCCTGGTTATTCTTAAACTTCCCAGTAGCCAAGCTAAGCCTGTTCCCATGTCCATAAAACAAGGATGGATGCTAATGCCTATGGTTCTAAACTAATCAAAATGAATTAATCTCTGTGAAAGTTGTTTACACATTAAAACATTTTGTAAAGGTGAAATACTATTCAAGCGTATCTGCTTCTGGAAAGGCAACTTGGCAAAACATAGTAGATACTTGCAACTCAAATGTAATCCAAGGACTTGCAACATTGGTCTTACCTGGAAGCTTGTTAAAAATAATTTCAGGCCTATCCCATAAGTATTAAATCCATATCTTCACTTTTAAGAAGATCTCTAAGGGAAGGGAAGCAAAAATAATATAAAATCAGGGAGGGGGACAAAACATAAGAGACTCATAAATATAAAGAATAAAGAGAAGGTTGCTGGAGGGGTTGTGGGAGGGGGAAGGGCTAAATGGGTAAGGGGCATTAAGGAAGACACTTGCTGGGATGAGCACTGGGTGTTATACATAAGGGATGAATCACTAGAATCTACTCCTGAAATCAATGTTGCACTATTTGCTAGCTACCTTGAATGTAAGTAAATAAATAAATAAATAAATAAATATTTTTAAAATGCTGCTATACGTATAAAGGTATTGCCATACTGAAAAGTGAAAAATCAAATTGGAAATTATACTTAGGGTGCCATTCCACTTTTGTGGAATGTGTGTATATGTGTATACATACAAATATCTGGAAAGATACACCAAAGTGTCCACGTTGGTTATAATTATCTCTATACAGAGGGCTTAGGGATAATTTTAACTGCTTTTAATTTATCCATGTTTGCTACTTTGCTAATGACCATTGGTCACATCCATTATAAAAAGGAATTTTATACTATGTGTATGATATGTGTAAGTATATAATGGTGTTACGGTGAAGATCATTACCCTGGACCTCAAAATATAAGCCTCTTGCTTAATTTCAGAACTCCTAACAAAGACCTGAGTTTCAGGTTGCAAAATGCTGAAGGAGTGAGAAGCTCCTCCCACTCCTCACAGCCTCCTCCAACTAGAACACTTCTGACTGCTTCCCAGCCCACAACCAACATAAAAAAACCATTGTGTCAAGGAGACAGCACCAAAAGGCAAAACGAAGGTAAGGGTAATCACAGCTGGGGATAGTAGCTGAAAAGGAAAAGTTCAGCACGCTAAATTATGTCATGAAACTTGGCTCCTATACCTAGTGCTATATTATTAAATTGTTTGGCATTGTTAAATGGGTTGCTTTTAAATACTAGACAAACTCTGTAGCCAAGTCTGGGAAAACAACTTGGTTTCTTACCAGGAAGGGGACGAGGAGTCTGGGATTTGACTAATGAGGAATTTTATTCAATTAGTGCTGCTTAGTATATTGCCAGTGCTACTGCGTTATTGAAAGCTGATTACTGACCACACTGCAAGGACTCTCTTACCAGTGAAGCAGCATTGATTGATCAATTCCTCGACAGGAGACCATGGCAAAGAAGGTGGCAGTGATTGGAGCTGGAGTCAGCGGCCTGGTCTCACTGAAGTGCTGTGTGGATGAGGGACTGGAACCCACTTGCTTTGAGCGGACTGAAGATATTGGAGGGCTGTGGAGGTTCAAAGTAAGTGACATCTTTTTTTTTTCTCTTGAGCAGACTCTACTGCTTTCGCAGAGTAAATCACAGCTGCAGAGGGGCCTTGTTGAGGGATCTCCTAAGCGACTTTGATCAGACCTATTTCATGCAGCTACACAGGAGCTATAGAAATAGGCTGTCGTCTCTCCCAGGTCATGACTCTCCTAACCCAGATGGCCAACCCAGGCACATAAAGGACCTTTTCTTATGGATCCTGCAACTGTCTGGCAGCCCGCGTTCTAGTGATTCTCAAAGCAACGTACTAATGTTGGAGGACATTTTACAAAATAGAAGTGACAGGAATTCTTTTCAAGAGGCCACGTCTATTCCAAACACTGAGCAAGTGCTTTTTCAGAGTGTGCTGACTTTCCTTTTCTCTGACAAATCATGTCTGTTTGCTTAGCATTACTGATGACACTCTAGGGTAACTTCTGGGAAACGCTTTAAAGGTATTATTAAACACATTCATTGAGTTCATTCTATTAGCCAGACCTAAATACGGATAATGCTCTCCACTCATCAGAATTTATATAAAATTTAAACAGATACATAGATAGACAACTGCAGAGATTCATAATTATCCCTTCCCACAGTGTTTTGATTTTAAATACTAGCTTGCCACCTCCTCAGTGTGAGATCTTGAGCAAGCTCTTGGCATCCCTGTGTCTTAGCCTTCTCAGCTGTATAATGGGGATAATAATATAAAAGTGTAATCACTCCACAGTGCTGTTTTGAAGATTAAGGGAGATAATTTATGTAAAGAAATTAGAGCACAATAAATGTCAGCTCCAATAGCTACATATTTTACAGACAACCAAACAGAAACTGAGGGAGATTAAGTAACTTGATCATGGTCACATAGCTGGAATTGGCATTCAAACCCAGGTCTCTATGACTTCTAAACAGGCTAGCCCCCTACTTATAACCATGCCCTAACTTGCATTTTTTTCTCAGAAAGTTTAAACAGAAGTGCTAGCTCAGAACTCCTGTGCAACAACTTTAGGATTGTGTATCAGGTGCATCTAAGTGAGGGAGTGAACAGTTGCGAACACTCTAAACAGAAGCAAAAGGTTTGAATACACTCAAAGCAGACTTCAAGGTGCAGTTGGGTGGCTCAGTCAGTTGAGCGACCAACTCTTGATTTTGGCTCAGGTCATGATCCCAGGGTCATGGGATCAAGCTCCACATCTGGCTCCATGCTGAGCATGGAGCCTGCTTAAAATTCTCTCTCTCTCTCTCTCTCTCTCTCTCTCTCTCTCTCTCTGCCCCTCTTTCCGGCTTGCTCTCTCTCTCTCAAATAAAAATAAATAAAAATAGGGGCACCTGGGTGTCTCAGCCGGTTTAGCGTCCGACTTCAGCTCAGGTCATGATCTCACGGTTTGTGAGTTCAAGCCCCACGTTGGGCTCTGTGCTGACAGCTCAGAGCCTGAAGCCTGCTTCCCTTTCTGTGTCTCCTCCTCTATCTGCCCCTCCCATGCTCATGCTCCATCTGTCCCTGTCTCTCAATAATAAATAAATGTTAAATTTTTTTTTTAAAAATAAAAGCAGACTCTGACATTAGCAGAGACCATCAAAAGGACTCTGCCTACAAGGTGACCAATTAGGGGGAAGGCACAGACATCTAGCACATGTGCTTTGCGAGTTCGAACTGAATTTTATGCCAAAGTGGATTTTTTAACCTGGGGCTTCTCAAATGTGTATGACTATAAGACATACCTAGAGGGTTTTTTAAAGATACTTAACACCAACCCAGACTTATTAAACCAAAATCTTCTGAGGAGGGGAATCTGTTTTTAACAGGAGTCTCCAATGAGTCTTACGATGAGACAAATTTAGCCAGCAAATTGCACAAATACCAGATACAAATCTGTTCATTCAACTATGCAAACATAATCAGAGCTAATGATGGAGATATTGATCCTTATATAGGACAGGTAACTTGCAGAGAGGAAACTGGAAAAACAGTTTGAATCACATTCATTTCTTACTAACAACTGGTCATTAGAAACAGCTTTTCCTGGGGCACCCAGGTGGCTCAGTTGGTTGAGCGCCAGACTCTTGATTTCGCTCAGGTCATGATCCCAGGGTCATGATCCAGGGTAATGGGATCGAGCCCCGTGTTGAGGCCCGTGTCGAGATCCATGCTGAACGTGGAGCCTGCTTAATATTCTGTCTCTCCATCCTTCTGCTGCTTTCCCCCCCAACTCTAAGATGATTAAAGAAAAAAAAAAAAGAAACATTATAGCTTTTCCTGAGAGGGTGATATAATAAGGTGGTCATTCCTGTCTTAACCAAAGATGTATTATTTTTGTTGACTCTAGGTTCACTCTAGGTTCCATTTGGGTGCCCTGCCCGGGAGATTTTTAATCTAAAGAATAAATGTGAAGTTATAACAAATTTATTATTAAATATAAATTTGTCAGTGTCTTATTACCTGATTTGGGACTTAATATCTAAAAGCCAAATGTCCAGGGGTGCCTGGGCAGCTCAGTCGGTTAAGTGATCGCCTCTTGACTTTGGCTCAGGTAATGATCTCATGGGTTCGTGAGTTCAAGCCCTGCATCTTGTTCTGTGTCGATGGTGCAGAGCCTGCTTTGGATTCTGTCTCCCACTCTTTCTGCCCTTCCCCTGCTTGCTCTCTCTCTCTCTCTCTCTCTCTCTCTCTCTCTCTCAAAATAAACAAAAAATAAACTTTAAAAAAAACTAAAAAGCCAAATGTCCCTTATTTGATTATCATCAATTTTGTGATAGAAGCCGTAAGAGTTATTTTTACATGGTCTGTCAAAAACATGACTTGATGAATTCCAGGAAGGTTTCTTCCTGCCCCCAAATACTTTTCCTGCTGTCCTAATCCCAGTTGCCAGTGTTTAACATTTCAGAATTAGAGATACCTTCCTATGGGTTAGAAAAGAAAAATTAGATTAAAATTTGAGTTAATTAAACCTCATTAGATATAAAATGGTGAAGTATATAAGTTCCTGAAACCTTTAACAATATCACATTTCAAACCTCTCAAAACTATGTCCAATAGAGAAACAAACAATTTTCTCAACCCAAAGAAGACAAGTAATCTCCCTGCAGTGTTAAATATACAGTATGCAAAATATCCCAAGTGGCCAATGAGGCCGCGTGAGGGTCTTGATTACCAACAGACTGATTGCCAAAGGGAGGAGGCACCGAAAAGGATGCTGGGAGCTACTGCACCCACTCCCGAGGAAGCTTCACCTCTTCGCTACTCTACCATCAAGAATCAATTTTGAAAATAGTTATTCATTAATTTCTATATTTACACATAGTCCTTCTAAGATCACCTAACATATTTAGTGCTGACAAGTTAAAACAAAATTTAAGAATCATTGCCCCATGCCCTGCTCAGAAGGTGCTGGATTTTTCCAGAAGGTTCTCCAGCACCCCTTAGTGGCAGCTTTGCAACATGGGCGGGGTGCGTCATGAACCTATTTTTAGCACTTTTCCAGCAATGGAAAAGTACTTTCCATGCATCATCTTATTTTTTTTCTTCATAATACTCCTAAAAAGCAGTGTCAGGGAGCAAGAATTCCTGTCCCCTCAAAAGTCCTTCTAACTGGACTAAGCATCAAATTGACATAAGACAAACTAACAGGAGAAAATCAAAGTTAATAGATGTTCCTGAGGAATTCACATAGACATAGAAATTCCAAACACAGGGAAAATGAGGTATATACGTCATTCTAAAATAAGGAGAAGCGGGTAGGTTCTGGGACTTTAAAGGAAAGGAATGTCCTTCACACGGCAATAAGAATGGATGCTTGCTCTGTCATTCAGATGGGTCACTCACATAAAATTTATCTCTGTTAATAACCCTTATTCTGGGAAAGACCCTCAGTTTAGATTCTTGTGTACGGTAAAGGGAGGACAAAAGTTTCTCTTGAGCCCATAAGGTCTTAAGTGCCTTCAGTTCAAAATAGTCCACATGCCCAAGTGGCATGTTTTGGGGGGAAGAGGGTCTGTCCTGAGATCCTTCAGTAGGTATTATGATTATCCTCATGGACATATCAAGAAGAAGCTGAGTTTTGGAATGAACAATTTCTCCAGGGGAACATAGGTAGTGGGAAAGGCACAAAAATGAAGGTCTATAAGATTTCTGAGCCTGCGCACTTAATAATCTTACTGAGGTGTCAAGAGAGGAAAGCATGATCTGCCTTTAGCCACTAACCTTCTCTGCCTCCTTCATTGTTCCTAATACCAGCGTTCACAGGAAAGTTACCAACATATATCGCATTTTTGTTTGTTTGTTTTATATTTGGTTATAAATGGATCTTTTCCCAGCTACAAAATACTCAATTGTTTTAATCTTCATATAATACTCTCTAAATGTCTCTCCATCCTTCCTCTAGATTCAATCTGAAATACCAGTTTCTCTCTTAAAATGTGACTCACACAAGATCCAATATTCCAAACCAATTTATTTTTCCAACATATATATATTTTCAGAACCAAAGAGGTGCTTGGCACTGCTTTAGACAATGGGGATAAATCCCCTTGAAGAATTTATAATCAACTGGTCTAACAATTGCCCAGCATGACTTATGTTTCAGTAGGCCTGGACGGTCTACCTTTGCTAAAATAATTTAATGCTGCATTAGCTTTTTCTGCATTTGCAAAATTAAAGCTATCATTCATATAATTATTTTGATAGGGATTATCTCATTTTATACTCACAATACTCTCCAACATTATTTGTTATTAATTTCAACTTAAATATAAGAAAACCAAGGGTAAGTGGCTTTCCCATAGTGACTAAATAAATAGTAGGTGTTAGATCTTAGAACTAGCCACGATATTGAGATTAAATACATATAGGCTCTCCATCATGCTTTGTCTCACATAACTCCAATCATTTAGACTGAGCTTAGGATCAATCAAAGTTCTGGATCTTTTCTATTTGAAGCACTGATGATCCAGGTCACTATTATTCTACCCTTATGAAACTGAATTGTTTTTTTTTT